AAAAAAAAAAAAAGATTAACCAAGATAATTCCAACAAAGTGCTCAGAACAAGCCAAGCACACAGGCAGTAACCAATAAGTATTAGCCTTTATCAAAACCAGGGCTCCTGCCCTGGGTCCCCCTGACTCCTGGGCATCTAAGAGAAGAAGATCCCCATCCCCCAAACATAGTCCAGAGGTGACAGGGTGGACAATGAACCCTCAACTTGCTATTCCCATCATCACAACGCATCGCCTTAAAAAAAAAAAAAAAGGAGGGGGGAAGGGCGCCGGGCCCATATACCCAGGGTGATGGGTTCAAACCTGGACCCAGCCAAACTGCAACCAAAAATAGCCGGGTGTAGTGGTGGGCACCTGTAGTCCCAGCTACTTGGGAGGCTGAGGCAAGAGAATTGCCTAAGCCTAGGAGTTGGAGGTTGCTATGAGCTGTGATGCCATAGCACTTTACCGAGGGTGACAAAGTAAGACTATGTCTCGAAAAAAGAAGAAGCAAGAAGCAAGTTCAAAACCAATTATGTTAATAAGAGTGCTTTGGGCCAGGTAGAGTGGCTCATGCCTGTAATCCTAGCACTCTGGGAGGCCGAGGCAGGTGGACTGCCTGAGCTCACAGGTTCAACACCAGCCTAAGCAAGAGCAAGACCCCATCTCTAAAAACAGGTGGGTGTTGTGGCAGGCACCTGTACTCCCAGCTACTCAGGAGGCTGAGGTAAGAGAATTACTTGAGGAGGCCAAGAGTTTGAAGTTGCTGTGAGCTAGGATGTCACAGCACTCTACCAAGGGTGACAAAGTGAAACTCTGTCTCAAAAAAAAAATCACTTTGCAACTTAAAAAAAAGGCTTTTTAATTAGCTTCATCTTCTTTTAATTTTTTTTAAAAGGTCATTTGGCCACAACCCCCAGTTTTAATACAGCAGGACCTAAGAAGATTAGGAATTTGCAGGCTGAGCTAGGGGCAGTCCTGGCCCCAGAGAAAACACAGCAGTGGCTTTTTTAGACTTTGGTCATGGCTACCTGGGTAGCAGCAGACATCCCTGAACCTCAGTTTGCTGTCTGTAGAATAGAGATAACGCTCACCACTTTTGCCCCTTCCTAGTACCCATATCCCCTGGGCCTCCAGGTCCCCAAATCTTCTTTGTCTAGGAAGTCCTACCTGCCATGCTTCCTCCCTCTGGCCTGACCTAGAAGGCATCTGTATCCAGCTCTATTGCTCTGAGACTGGGTGAGTCCCTGAAGTCAGCTTAAAGTAGACATAGACTTGGTTTGTTAGCTGAACTCATTCATTCCCCAAATCAGATTCTACTCAATTCCTTATCACTTCCACATTTTGGTCACTGGTATATATACACGCTGTGCTCAAAATTGATCAAGTGTAAATTCACCTCCTGGCTTTTGCCCACACTCTGTCCCTCTGCTGGGAATGTCCTTTCCAAAATTGAACTCCACCTGAAGAGCCTGTGCCTCCAGCATCATTTCCCTGCTAAATACCTTCCAGACCCCCCAGGGGCAACCCCTCCTCCCTGTTCTGGGGCTCCCCCAGCTCCTGGTCCCCAACCCCTGACCACAGTGAGCTAGATGGGGCCATGCAACTTTGAACTTACCCTCCTTGGCACTCCCATTTGCAGGGGTCCCTGGCAGGGCCGGCTGCTCTCCACTTGCTGCCTCCTCCCAGAAACCCTCCACACCTGGGCTCCCTGACAGGCCCTCTAGCTCAAACTCCTCTGTGCCCAGGGAGATGGGCAGCAGGGTGCTGGTCAAGTCCCATGGTGCTGTAGTTTCTCCTGAGGAAACTGAGACAGCCTCATCCATGCTGGCGGCAGTTGGTGTCCAAGGAGGAAAATCCAGCTTTCCAAGGGGGTTGCCCTGATGTGGAAGGGCTAAAGTACCCAGTGTCCCCTGGGCCTCCATCTGGCCCTCTAGGTGAAGCTCTGGGAGGGGTTGGGAGCTTGAGGAGGCCAGTGTGGACGTGGCCAGGACCCCAACCTTGTCACCCTGATCCAGGGATGTGAGGGACATCACCATACTTGTATCCACAGCCACCTGAGAGGCCAAGGTGGGGCTTTTGGCTCCTTCAAATACATGGGATCCAGATTCCCAAATTCCACCAGCATCACTGGCTGTGGACTCCATGGGACCCACCGTGGCTCCTTTATCTGTAGCAGCCCAAGGCTGCAAATTCAAGGTGAATCCAGGCATGAAGAAGTCTCCAGGATCCCCCAAGGGTGCAGATGGAAGGCTGGCACCCAGCCCTGCACTGTATGGTGAGGGCCAGGTGCTCTGCATCTCATCAGCAGTGACCTCAGAGCTATGAGTAAAGCTTTCTGCTGTGTTGAAGTCCCCAGACTCCGACCCTAAGATGCCTATGACGCCTGTGGGTTCTGTAGCAGTCTCAGTGGGGGCAAAGTTTACCACCATAGTCCTGTCCACAGAGGCCCAGGGGCGGGATCTGGGGTACTCATCTTTGTTGAACTGAGTGGGGCTGGTCACCCCAGTTTTTCCAAGGTTTTCCCTGGGAGCATCAGAATTAGCTCCAACTGTTATATCCATGGGACTTCCTGTTCCGTGACTGGTGAGTGTCATGCTCCTGACTTCTCCACCTAGTCCTGTCAGGCCCAAGTAGGAAGGTAGAGAATACACTTTGGTTTCTGTGACAGGGGAGAGCAGCTCAGTGGCCATGACCTCACTATGCCCCTTGACCCCATTTGCCTTAGTGGTGACAGGTGTAAAGTGGGGCAGGAGTGACTGTTTGGGGACACGCAGCATCGCCATGATAGGGAGATCTGGGGAAGTGACTACAGAGGATGCCTCCCATGGGGCAGGACTGCGTCCCTCCAAGAGGCTGGGAGCCAGGACAGTGGCCTCTGAGGGAGACCAAGGCAGGTCTTGGGTAGGTGGCCTTATGCTGGGGCCCTTGGCTTTCTCTAACTCCAGGCCAGAGATGCTAGGTGGGACGATAGTTGGGTGCCACTGCCAGGACTCTAGGGAGCTCCTGCCACCAGAAGAACCTGCAACAACATCAACAACAGTATTTGTGATTATTTCTCAGCAGCCTCCTTTTTTGACTACCTCCTCGGCTCTAGGCCTGAGAAAAAGGAAGCTTCTGAAGCCAAGGGACCCAGCTGGCATTCAGAGCTTCCACCCCTGGCCTGAATGTGGCCATATCTCCTTTGGTCCCCAGATCCTCGGCCAAGTATGCCCCCTGCAGATCAAACTTACCAGCTCCAGGCACATCCACCTCATTGGTCAGATCAGCCCAGGGCCTCTGGTTCCCACCATTCTCCAAGGCATCCTTGGCTCCAGAGGTGGAGGGAGGTTCCACATGATTCCCAGCAGCCTCAGTGGTGGGGGGCTGGGCGCTGGCCTCTGTCCCCCTCTGCCCTCCACCCTCTGGTTCCTGCTGCTGGAAGTAGCGCCCATTCAACCCTTTGAAGCGCCCCCTCCTCCTTGGTGTGAGCTGGACTGGGGCCACCAACATGTGTGAACCTGCTGCAGTGCCTGCTCCCATGTTCCTGAGGCTGGGGGCTACTGTGTTCTGCCACATTTCCTCAGTAGGCCATGAAGCCAGTGTGGGACCCCCATGGGCAATATGGGGGGTCTCTTGAGTTTCCTGGTTCTCTGCCAAGATCAGGGGCTCTTCTTCTCCACTGGACACCAGAGGCTCCTGTAAGTCAGCGGCGACTGCCTCTTCTTTCCCCAAGTTGGGGTCTAATTCATGAATAGGAGGCCCTTCTGCCGACAGAATATCTCCTTCATCCCCAGATGATGGAGTCTCTGGGTCTCCATGTTGTGGTGTGGGGTGATGAGCTATGGGAGAAAGCAGATGAGGTCATGTTAGACCCAGGGGCTGCCTGAGAGTTCTGCTTGAAGTCTACCCACAATCTAGCATGCTTCAGCACAGACCTTCCATGCATCTCTGTTTCTCTGTACCCCTCTGACTCTCTCTGTGGTTTCTGAGATCCCCAGGCTGAGAGAGGAATTTGCAAAGGTATCGTCTCTACTGTTAAGGCTGGGGCCTGACTGACTGAGCCCACCCTTAGGGTCAGTGTCAACTGGTCGCACTGAGGAGTCAAGAGACAGTTTGGTTCATGGGCAAAGTTCAGGCAGCATCCAATTCTCATGAAGTCAGGTTAGCCTTGGCCTTGGATCCTCCCCTGGGTATAGGAGGTGCCCTATGGGCTTGACACTGGTTTGTTTTTACTTTTCCCCCTCAGGGCTGGAGGCAGCTTACCCAGAGGATTTTGGCTCCTTGGGGTTAAAATTTGCAGCTTCCAAAGCTGTGCCCCCCACCTCCTCCGTAAAAGGAAGAGTGTAATTTCTGACGTAGGCCCACGTCCAAGGCACGTGGCCAATCCAGGCATTACTTTTCCACGTGGTGTGGCTATGGGCGTGGATCCAGGTGAAATATACTCAACCCAGAGGCGTGTCTTTCAAGGTTAGAACTCTTCTGAACTTCAGAAGACAGAACCCAGTCAGAAGACAGAACCCAGTCAGCAAATACGACTCAGGCGCTAAAGCTTGGCTTTCTCCGGTACCAGATCCTTCCGCTAGGGCGGAGCTCCCAGGGAAAAACTGTCAGGGGCGTGGCCTATCGCGAAGTCTGCTTCCCGGGGCGTGACTTTTGCCAAAGTGAAAGGCCTAGGGGAGTGGCCACCAGAAGACTTCCCCTCCCAGGCCGCGGCCGCGGCCTCTGCCTGATCTCTCACACACCTCGGAAGCAGTAGGCATCGAAGCGCGCAGCGGGCGCGGGGAAGCCGGTCCGGTTGGCAAAGCGGTACACTGTGCGCACACCTGGCGCTGGGCCCCCGCATCGCCGACGCGGCGTCTGGATTGGGTAGCGCACGCTGCCATCGGCCAGCCAGCCTGGGTCGCACTGGTCCAGGCCCTCGTGCCAGGCCAGGTGCAGCTGTCCCACTGAGGCCAGAGTGGCGCCCTGACGGCGACACTGAACACGGGCGCCAGCCAGCGTCAGGCGGCGGGCAGGGCCCACGTAGAAGACCTCGCCTGCGGGAGGAGGATGGTTGAGGTTAGGGGGACCCGGAGGACCCTCCCTCAGAAGCCAAGAAGGGGGTCCACATAGCCCCGGTCCACATAACCTTCCACATAGCCCCAACCTGGCTGGAGTTTGGGTGATAGTTAAACCAGACAGCGACAAGAGCAGCTGAGTATCCTGCCAGAGCATTGTCGTTATCTCTCACGCAGAGCTAACAAGAGAGGGCTTTAGCATCTTTTCACCAATGAGGTAAGTCAGGGTTCAGAGAGAGGGAGGGGCTTGGTGAGGGGGAGATCGGAGAGGAGAAAGAAGACAGGGATGGGGAAAGGGAGGTAAGGAGGAGACAGGCGCTCAGGGAGAGACGGAAAGCTCAGAGAGGGTGGGTCCAGCTCTTGGCTGCAGGTTTAGAGAGGAGACTTAGGAGAATTGCATAAGGACTTACAGAGGGATGGGAGTTGGGGAGAGTACCAGGGGCTCAGAGAGAGGTGGGGGGGGCAGGGTCCTGCCAGCCTCAGACTTACCCCCCAGCTCCCTGGCAAAGCAATACACATCATAGTGTTCCTGTGGGTCTCGCCTCCCATAGCTCCGAACCCCTGGAAGGCTGCTACGGTCGCCATAGCAACCGGGACGGGACTGGGTGATAGGATACCTGACAACACAAGGGGAGGGTCCTTCTCAGAGGTGTGCTCCTGAAGCCAAGAAACTTCTTTCCGCCATCTCCTCACCCTGTGTACCCTCTCACCTAACAGTGCGGTCAGAGAGCCAACCAGCATCACAGTTGTCAAAGCCGTCCTCAAAGGCAGCCTGCAGGTGTCGAGGAGCTGCAATGGTGGCTGAGCTGAGACGGCAGGCCTCCTGGGCCTCAGCAAAGGTCAACACATAGCGGTCCCGGGCTGCCCGGTAGTGGAACACAACCCCTGTATGGGAACATCCAGGATGAGAGAGCTGACTTTTGCTGGAATATGCAAAAACAGACCCCTCTCTTACAGAATGACACCCCTCCAGTCTGCTAATAGATCTACTGTCCTACATTGCCTTGTACCACATCCATTTACCCAGCACCCAGCATAGTGCTAGGGCAGTGGTGGTGAGTGAGATCCACATGCCCCCATTTCACAGATGAGAAAACTGATAACAATGTCCATAAAGGACTAGAAAGCTTATGTAAGCCAGGATGTGAAACACTAATAACAGGGTCACTGAGACTCAAATTCTTATTTAGGTATGAAAGAAATGGCTAAGTGGCTCATGCATGTAATCCCAGAGCTTTGGGAGGCCAAGGTGAAAGGTTTACTTGAAGCCAGGAATTTGAGACCAGCCTGGGCAACAGACCAAGACCCATGTCACTACCAAAAATAAGTCAGAGAGCCCCTGGAGGAAGCTGTGTCCTTGGCATCTGGTGTTCAATAAGTGTGTGGCTTAATGAATGAAACAGAACAAATCTAGAGGTAGCCTTTTTTTTTACCACTAATCAGGTGTTTTTTGAGTTTTACTGGTTTTGAGAAGTGCGTCCTTCAAAAGGGGATGATTGGTTGGTTGATCCCATAAAAATGTAATACTATCCTATTTATGTCCCCAATTCATAGCTTGGAGGGGAGAGGATTAATCCCCAGGATAGGAAGTGCAGGGACTTGCCCAAGGTCCATATAAATTACGGGACTAGATTTCACAGTCTACAGCATATTTTCCATACCACAATCCATTCATTGAGTTGCACATTAAAAATCTATTGAGCATCTCTTGTGTGCCAGACTCAGATCTACACTGCTTTAATCATTAACATTTTTTTTCTTTGTCCACTTTGATAAGTTAGGAAAACAGAAACTGCACTGGGTATTTTAACAGGAAGAATTTAATAAAGGAATTGGAGAAATGGATATTTACTTTATATATACATATATTTTTATATAGTTTATGGTTTGGGGGGTTGGGGTTTTTTGTTTGTTTGCTTTTTTAGAGATGGGGTCTCACCCTGTCACCTAGAGTGGAGTACAGTGGGGCTGAAAACTCCTGGGCTCAAGCAATCCTCCCACCTCAGCCTCCTGAGTAACTGGGACTACAGGCATAAACCACCATGCCTGGCTAATTTATCTTTCCACTATGTTGCCAAGGCTGGTCTCAAACTCCTGGCCTCATGCCTCAGCTTCCCAAAGTGCATGGATTATGAAGTGTCATTACAGGATGTCATTCTATAAGTGGCAAATGCCACTGCCCATGGCCCTTGCTCTCATAATACATATTTTTAATTGGCCTACTTTTTTTTTGGAGACAGAGTTTCCAGGCTATGGTGCTGTTGCATCAGCCTAGTTCACAGCAACCTCAAACTCCTGGATATAGGCAATCCTTCTGTCTTAGTCTCCCAAGTAGCTGGGACTAAAGGCAAGTAGCATCTCACCTGGCTAATTTTTCTACTTTTAGTAAAGACAGGGGTTCCTTGCTCAGGGTGATCTTGAACTCTTGAGCTCAAGCAATCTTCCCACTTCATCCTCCTATAGTGCTAGCATTACAGGTATGAGCCCCTGTACCCAGCTGGTGGGCTGGCTAATTTTTCTGGATTTTTTGTTTTTGTTTTGGTAGACACAAGGTTGTTTTTTTTCTTTGCAGTGTTTCGCCGGGGTCAGGTTTGAACCTACCACCTCCAGTATACAGGGTTGGTACCCTACTCCTTTGAGCCACAGGTGCCGCCCAACACAGGGTTTTATTATTGCTCAGGCTCGTCTCTAAACTCTGACTTCAAGTCATTCTCCTACTTCAGCTTCTCAAAGTGCTAGGACTTTGGTATAAGCCACCATACCTGGCTGAGTATTCCTATTTTATATAGAAAGCCAATGTCCTTTGTCTTATGTAAAATTAAGTAACTGTAAAATTGACTTTTAAAGCAAAATTACAAAATCCTGCCTAGATATTACTTACCACTCCTGTGGTCCATAGAAAACTGATTGGAGGCTGCTTCCTTTTGATTAAAAAAGAGAAGTAGGCTGGTCGCCTGTAGCTCAATGGTTAGGGCACCGACCACATGCTCCAGGGCTGGTGGGTTCAAACCCGGCCCGGGCCTGCTAAACAAAAAACAATAGCCGGGCACTTGTGGTGGGCACCTGTAGTCCCAGCTACTAGGGAGGCTGATGCAAGAGAATCGCTTGAGCCCAAGAATTTGAGGTTGCTGTGAACTATGATGCCACAGCATTCTACCAAGGGTGACAAAGTGAGACTCAAAAAAAGAGAGAAATATTGGCCAGATGTGATGGTTCATGCTTGTAATCCTAGCACTAAGGGAAGCCAAAGTGAGTGGATTACTTGAGTTCAGGAGTTTGAGACCAGTCTGAGGAAGAAGGAGACCCCATCTCTACTAAAAATAGAAGAACTAGCCAGGCATTGTGGTGGGTGCCTGTAGTCCCAGCTATATAGGAGGCTGAGGCAAGAGGACCACTTGAGCCCAGGAGTTTGAGGTTGCTTGCTGTGAGCTATGATGCTATGGCACTCTAACCAGGCCAATAGAGTCCAGGCCAATAGAGTAAAACTCTGTCTCAAAAATAAATAAATAAATAAATAGGTGCTAAAAGATAGGATAGTATCTGTGAAGACCTTCTTCATGACTTTATCAGAAGAAATGAAAAGGAATTGCTGTTTAGGGAGTAGTTTCGTTTTTTTTTTTTGGCCAGGGCTGGCCTCTGGCATATGGGGCTGGCGCCCTACCCTTTTGAGCCACAGGCGCGGCCCCAGGGAGTAGTTTCTAAGGTGACACTCAGTGGGTAGGCTCCAGGCTCAGCTCCTCCCTCTCCCAGCCTCAGCCCCTCCCTTCCTTGCTCCAACTGACCTGTCACCTCCAAGGGCACCAGGTCCTGTTCATCTTCGATGCCCCTCACGACCTGGCAGCGGTAAAGCCCAGAGTCGCTGGCCCTCAGTGGCCCCAGCAGTAGTGTGGCATTGGCTCGTCGCCGGGGGTAGGCAGGCAGTGACACTCGTCCCTGCCAACCCTTGGCCACCCGAACCACATTGTCCTTGGCCACCAGGATGGGCAAGTCTTGTCGCTGGCCTGATGCAGTCCGAACCTTTGTCCACTTGATCCGAGGAGCATCTTGGGCTGCATCTGGTTGTGGCTGCAGGGTGAAGAGACAGGGCAGGGCCACCAGCTCTGCCAGTGCAGCCCGTACTGACCCAGATCCCACCTTGTGCATGTGGAGCCCCTTTTCAGCATCATCAGTGATAGCCTCTGTGCCTGGGTTAAAGAACATGGAGAGAGGGTATGACTCTGTGATAAGGACCAGCAAGCAGGGACAGCTATTTCTCTCACCGTACAGCCACAGGAAAGTTACTTTCTTCCTCTGAGGCTTAGTTTCTCCAAACGTTAAGAGGTGGCCAATAGAAGGGAAATAATGTGTGTGAAGCATCTTCATTATAACATGAATTTTATAGCAATCAGATCATTTGACTTTTTGTTTGTTTGTTTTTTTGAGACAAAGCCTTCACCTGTCCCCCTGGGTAGAGTGTCGTGGCATCACAGCTCACAGCAACCTCCAACTCCTGGGCTCAAGCAAGGCTCCTGCCTCCACCTCCCAAGTAGCTGGGACCACAGGTGCCTGCCACAACGCCCGGCTATTTTTCAGTTGCAGCTGTCATTGTTGTTTGGCGGGCCAGGGCTGGATTTAAACCTGCCACCTTAGGTGTATGTGGCTGGCGCCTTAGCCACTTGAGCCACAGGCCCCAAGCTTGTTTCTTTGTTTTTTGAGAGAGAGGTAAGTGCAGTGGCATGATCAGCATACAACAGCCTAAAACTCTTGGTTTCAGCCTCAGCCTCCTGAGACTACAGGCACACACAATTGTGTCTGGATACTTTTAAAATATTTTGCAATGGCTGGGCACAGTGGCTCACACTTGTAATCCTAGCACCCTGGGAGGCTGGGCAGGTGGATTACTTAAGCTCAGGAGTTTGAGATACCAGCCTGAGCAAGAGGGAGACCCCATCTCTACTAAAAATAGAAAAACTAGGCTGGGTGTAGTGGTTCATGCCTGTAATCCTAACACTCTGGGAGGCCAAGATGGGTGGATTGCTTGAGCTCATGAGTTTGAGACCAGCCTGAGCAAAAAAGTGAGACCCCATCTCTACTAAAAATAGAAAGAGTGAGGCAAGATGATCACTTGAACCCAAGTTGGAGGATGCTGTGAGCTATGATGCCATGGCACTCTACCTAGGGCGACAGGTTGAGACTGTGTCTCAAAAAAAAGTAGTAATAATAATAGAAAATCTAGCCAGACACTGTGGCAGGTATCTATAATTTCAGCTATTCTGGAGGCTGAGGCAAGAGGATCACTTGAGCTCAGAGGTTTGAGATTACTGTGAGCTATGATGATACCACAGCACTCTACCAGGGCAACAGAGTGAGACTTTGTCACAAAAAATGAAATAAAAGGGCTGGGCGTGGTGGTTTATGCATTTAATCCTAGCACTCTCAGAGGCCAAGGCAGGAGGATTGTCTGAGCTCTGGAGTTCAAGACCAGCCTGAGAAAGAGCAAGACCTCTTCTCTACTAAAAATAGAAAACTAGCTAGGTGTTTTGGCTACACAATACACCTGTAGTCCCAGCTACGTGGGAGGCTAAGACAAGAGGATCTCTTGAGCCCAGGAATTTGAGGGTGCTGTGAGCTGGGCTGTCACAGCACTCTCCACAGGGCAACTGAGACTCTGTCTCAAAAATAATAAAATAGGGCAGTGCCTGTGGCTCAGTGAGTAGGGCACCGGCCCCATATACCAAGGGTGGCGGGTTCAAACCCAGCCCTGGCCAAACTGCAACAAAAAATAGCTAGGCATTGTGGCAGGTGTCTGTAGCCCCAGCTACTCAGGAGGCTGAGGCAAGAGAATGGCCTAAGCCCAAGAGCTGGAGGTTGCTGTGAGCTGTGATGCCATGTATTCTACCGAAAGCGACAAAGTGAGACTCTGTCTTTAAAAAAAAAACAA